GTTAAGGTGCGGTATCAGTGTACGGATGTACATAGATATTAAGGTGTGGCATCAGTGTATGGATGTAGCTAGATGTCATTGGGGCAGTAGTGGCCTAATGGTTAGGGAAGAGTGCTTGTAATTGGAAAGTTGCTGGTTCAAATCCCCAACCAGCAAGGTATCTCCCACACACTGCCCCCTGAGTGCTGAATTAATAGCTGACCATTGTTATGTCACATAGGGGTTAAATGCAGAGGGTACATTTTACTGTGGTGTGTCAACAATCACTTTGGCTTCGATAGACATTAAGGTGTTGGTGTGATATCACTGCAGGGAGATTTAGGCTCAGTGTGTTTGTCATTGTCATTCTGTGCAGGGGGCTAACATCCTTCTGACAGAGCGGGGGGACGTCAAACTTGGTGAGTGAAAATGCCACATACATACTTCAATCATACATGCATCTGAAATGTAGTCTGATGTTGTAGTGAAATTGGCTCCTTGCTATTTTTTGTCTGTATATGCCTCTCTCGCTCTGTCCAGCGGATTTTGGTGTTGCTGCTGAGATCAGTGCCTCTGTGGCAAAAAGGAAGTCCTTCATCGGAACACCCTACTGGTAAGTGGCCTGGACATCAACCCCCTACTGGTTCTCTGACACAGATATGACAAAATAACATAAAGGAGAAAAACTAGAGAGCAGTAAGGGTGGGGAATCAGCCTTTTGTTCAGGAATCATGTTGCTTTAAATGTATCAGTTCTCCCTGATACCTTTGTCAGCCATTCTGTCTTTTGCAGGAATCCTGCTAGTGCTAGTTTTGTTGTATATGATCCCCAAAGCAAAACCACAGTTTCAGTTTGAAAGCTGTTAAAACCTACAGGCCTGATGATCGTTTGCTTTTCTTTACTCTGATACAGCTGTTTACAAAATGAATTGTCACTGTTATCATAAATGTATCACTGTCATATCGAGTCAACAGTGATTATACAGTCAGCCACTGCAGGCAGGCGATCTCTGCATTACGCTGCCTATATAAGGATCTTTCAGATGCCTTGTGTCATTCCATTTGCATTTAGCTGTGCTTAGGGCTCCTGTAGGTGGTTATTTATTAGATATGAGGTACTAAAACTTTGGCTGGTAGGATTATGGAGAATACCACATTAACCCTCTTTGTAGAGCACAATGATACCAATCGTGAGATTCACACTTTATTCCTCCCATCACATTAGGGTAAATTCTCTGACATTCTTTGACTAAATTAGGGTTGGCACATGGTATAGTGGTTGATCACATGGACTTGTAGTGGAAGTCTGGATCATTCACACCCATGAGGGGCTCTATAGTACTCTTGCGGCAATAAAAAATATGGACTAAGCAATGAAATGATCGTATGGGGAGTAAATGAAAGGTTAGTTGTAGTCCATGAGTTTGTGCATCTATGTCATGGCACCCTATCACGGCATAAGAACAGTTTCTTCCCCACCGCGGCCCGCCTCATCAATAAGGCCAGGAACACTCACTCAAATCCCATTTCCCCATCCTAACACAAGTATGTTACATATGTATATATTCCACCCTGAACATACCCCATGTACATTTTTATTTATATTATATTTATATGCTTATATATCAACCTCCTCATCTCTGGCACCAACCACCAAAGCAAATTCCTTGTATGTGTGAACGTACTTGGCAATAAACCCGATTCTGATTCTGATTCTGATTCTCAGGATGGCGCCCGAGGTGGCTGCTGTGGAGAAGAAGGGCGGATATAATCACCTGTGTGACATCTGGGCAGTGGGCATCACAGCCATCGAGCTGGCAGAGCTGCAGCCGCCCATGTTCGACCTGCACCCTATGAGGTAGGTCCCTCTCCCACTGCTCAGGCACCACTGCCACGTTCTGAGCACAGGCCTGGTCCATTTATCCTCTGCAGAGCGTCAGTAAATGTTGGGGTGGAAGGGTCAGCTGAGGGGTTATCTCTGCTCTCTGAGAACCTTCCTTTTTTTCAAACAGAGCCCTGATGTTGATGTCAAAGAGCAACTTTCAGCCACCTAAACTCAAAGACAGAACTAAGTGGTAAGGAACACATAGTAAATGACAGCTGTGACCCAGTATCCACAAATCATATCAGTAAAAAGGCATGGACACGTCACAGCTGGGGTGCAGATGTTTGTACTACTGCCTCTTTGTATAATGGCCTTAACATTTTAAGGTCCCTAACTGTGCCATCTGTTGTTATAGGGATCATGTCCTGGCATGGCCTAAGGAATCTCTCTGTTAGCTTGCGTTGGATGGAGATTTTTCATTCCAGACTCAAGTTGTGTTTATCTCTCTGGATGCCATTGGTCTTTGACTTGAGTGATAAGCTTCAGAAGCGTCCTCCTGAGCGTCACGTCACTGTCTCACTGTAGGTCGGCAGGGTTTCATAGCTTTGTGAAGATGTCACTGAACAAAAATCCACGCAAGAGACCCACAGCAGAGAGACTTCTGGAGGTATCTGTTCTTTTTAATAATGTTCAGTCATTGATCAGAATTGGTTGTTAGAGATCTGGTGTAACTTACCCATGGGTCATTTACACATCTTTAGTTACTTGGCAGGATGCTTATAGCCTTGAATAAAGAAACTGTACTTTGTGTATAAGTGCGTGTTAGTATAATTTGTATGCTTACAGTTTCTTTTAGCAGAGAAGGAATATGAGAAAATGAACCATTTAGTCAAGGAAGTGATTCCGACTTTTATTTATCAGGTATGAGATATATGCAACAGTTGACCCTTTGCACATGTAAAAGGATACGGATAGTTATCTGAAAAGTTCTACGTGTAAGAATTCACACATCAGTTAGATAACATGACCATTACTGATCACATATTTATAAAAATCCGCACTTGAGCACCTTTTTCATGTGGGAAGTTCTGACTCACAGTCCTCCCACAGCACCCATTCATGACCCAGCTCCTGACTCGAACTCTGACCCTTGAACTGTTAGACATGGTCGCCAACCCAGAGCTGCATGCCCCGCCAGCCCAGGACGAGAATGACGTGGATGTGAGTATGGCTGCTCTGTCTACTGGGCTTCAGTGTCTCCCCATGCTCACCCCCACACTTTTCTTATCTTCAGACCTGAATGAACTACTGTTACCTGGGATACTGGTGCTTAATAGGTACTGTGGTACTGCATTTTTGAAAGCTGTTTGGTATTACATTTCTTTAGCACCAGTACTAATTACATTATTAGACGTCGGTAACATTATATATTGCTAAAGCTAACCTTCATATCAGAACCATGGACTCAATACCCTATGTGAGACAGGGTTACCAACGCTCTGGCGTGAGACTCACACTTTCAGACTCTCACACTTACGCAAGTAATCTCACGGCAAATCTGTATTATTCCATTATAAACCTAACATTAGCTACATCATAAGCATTGAAAACCCTACAGACTATTTACAAGGTAATAAAACTCTTACATACATGTAAATGCGTGTGCAGACTTGTCTCTAATTGAAAATCTCACACTAGGAAACTGGCTGAAGCTGGCAGCCCTAGTGAGAATTGCATGCATCATGCTATATAGCATGTTTCCAGTGAACTAGCATATTTGATTTTTCCTCCGTGCTTGCATACAAAGTTGTGAGGCTACTAAAATGTCAGCTAGTTAAATATGATCTTCAAGTCAGTGATTTATAAAACATAGCAAGATCTTATAATATAGCAAACAGGCTACATTAACATAATCAAACTACCATCTGCACCTACAGGTTATTCTACACTGTGTTTTAAGCAGTTAGATAATCAAACATGATGCACTGCGCGGGACGTTTTTTTTATATGTATATTGAGAAGATGAACTGGAGAAAGAAGAAGTTGACCTTGGACCCCCAGAGGTTTTTTTTTCTCCATACTTGGGAATTTTTTACGGAGCCCCTAAAAGGACATAGGTGATTAAAAAATTTTTTTACCGTATCTGGTGCGCACCAGCTAGTATCAGTTAGTTATCTGGTGCGCACCAGATACGGTAAAGAAATATATAAATCACCTATGTCCCTTTAGGGTCGCCGTAGTTTTTGGTTCCTCTCCTCTGTTATCTTCTGGCTTTTTTAATTTACACACGTGGACAAAATTGTTGGTACCCTTCGGTCAAAGAAAGAAAAATTCACAATGGTCACAGAAATAA